TCTAAGATAATTGTTTCTGGAGTACCTACTTCCTCTATGTATTTTTCTAGATAGTATTTTACGGTTTTTACATTTGTCCTTATTTAAATTATTTACAATGTTTTTGTTGATTAGAGTTACTTCTGAACCTGTATCTAATAATAACTTGTATACTGAATCTTGTATGTACCCTTCAATAAACTTTAAAGTATTAGTGTTATTATTTTTATTTAATTCCCCAGTATCTCTAATAAACTCCCTTGGATGTTCATACTTTGATAAGTAGACAATATTATGCACATAGGAGCGGTCTAAACAAAATTTCTCCCTTCTACATCAACACTTGCTTCCCCCCTATTCTCCTCTGTTCTAACTACATTCACCTGTCTTCTCTCCTCATTTTCCCCCCTATTATATCTTGGATTCCCTTCTCTGTAAACTTCCCTATTTCTCGTCTCCTGTGGATAATTTCCCTGGTTCTGTCTCCAATTATTGCCTCTGTCATTCCCTTGTCTCCAGTTATTCTCTCTATCATTGTTTGGATTCCCTTGTCTACGTTCCCAGTTATATCGTCCGATATCTCTCCTGACATTGTTCAAATTCTCTCCCCTATTTGTAAAATCCCTGCTTCTATTTTGTCTCTCAAATTCCCTTTCCCTATAATTATTCCCTCGATTCACATATCCCTGTCTATTTGCTGTGTTATTCCTATATGTCACTTGCTCTTGTCCATTTCGATTCTGCGTCCCTACACTCCTCTCAATCCTCTGAAGATATCCTGTCAAACTTTCCATCGTCTTTATATTGTGGAGAGCTATTGTTTCTGCCATGTTATGGTTATATTGCCTGGCAATGTATAGGACAATCTCCTCTTCTCGCATAGCCGGTTCTAAATATTGTGCTGTCTGGAATAACTGCATTGCGTACAGATTGTAGTTGGTACTTTTTTCATAATTGAATTTCCCAAAATACAACCGCTCCCTGAAACTAGCCTGTTGGTTTTCTCCCCAAAAATAGTTAATAAACTTGGCCTCAAATTCCTGCACATTATTTATGGAATTTTCATTATTGCAAAACCATAATAATGGCATGCCCACTAACATGTTTCGAATATTCAATTTCATTTCTATTGGATCCCTTACATTCTTTACCTTATTTTTGATGATATCTACAAATATTCTAGGATGTAAGTGATTCAGGTTTCCATCAAACTTTATTCCCCCATCATTATAACTCGGCACCACAGTACTCACTACTCTTGTTTGTCCTAGATTTGATTCCAAACGCTGAATCTCCTCACTTGCATTTTTAAATTTCTCTCTCAATTCCTCAACTTGTCCCTGTAATACTCTATCTCCCTTTTCCGCCTGATTTGCATGCATACCCATTTCCAGTTCCAAATTCTGCAATCCCTTCTTTATATTATTTTTTATAATGGTAATTTTTTTCTCATAATCCTGAGTTTGCCTTTTAACACTTTCTACCTCCCTAACAATCTCTTTATTCTGCTTATTAACTTCTTTGTTTATTTCCATTGGTAAATTCTCTTTAATGGCTGTTCCCAACTCTACAAATCTGCTCCCAATTTCCTGTCCTATTTCCGCTCTAATTATGGCCTTTTCTCTGGATATCTCCTCCTGTACATTCCTCTTAAAATTCTCACTTTCTCCTCTGACCTGTTCTACTTTCTCTTCTAAACCTTGGGTAATTTGTAGCATCTCTTCCCTGACTATCTTCACTTCTTCTTTGATTTCTTCCCTCATTTTAATTAACTCTTCCCTAAGTTCTCCTTTAATATTATTTTCCATTTTGTTCATATCCCCCCTAATATTGTTAATATTACTATCCATTTTGTGCATATCTCCCCTAATATTATGATCCATCTGTTGTAACATCCGCATTATTTGCCTCATATCCATCTGTGTCATCCCTGACTCTCCAACATCTCCTTCCCTACGTCTCTCCTCCTGCACTCTACATTCATTCACACTTTCATCACGTCTATCTCTCACTGTCTCATCCAACTCCTCTCTCAAACTATCTGTTAGACTTCCCTCTCTATCACCTTGTCCTGCTTCTTGTCTGCCTTGCTCTAAATATTGTACTACAAATTCTCCTGATCCTCCTCTGCTTTCTTCATCTACCTGTATACCCTGTTCCTGTTCTAACACCTGTTCTCCTTCACTCTCTTTCGGTACGATTTCTTTTCCATTTCTTAAAGTCATTCGGTCTGCCATTTTATCCTAATCTCTATTTATTCTCAAATTTAACTTTAACTACCCCAGAATCTCTACAACTCTAATCACACCAATTTGTTTTTATTTTAATCTGTGTATTATTAATAAATCTGCTTAAAAAAAAAACACCCTTATTTCTGTTTTCCCAGAGGCTCCACGTTGTTAGCGCCAATTGTAATGGTTTTGTTTTTATTATTTTTATGTTTTATTGTTAATAAATATAATTTTAATTGAATTGAAGTGAATTTTAAAAGTATGTAGTTCGTTGTTAATATACTATACCTCGGCTAGCTCAATTATTTGTTCTAAGCAATCTGTCACTGTGTGACGTCAACTCTGTAGTCTCCTGGTAGAGTTCAAAAAGAAATTAAACCAAAATTTACTTTATATTTTTGATAAATTAACCCAAATGAAGCACGTTATTTATTAATATTGAACAAATTTAATATAAACAATAAAATTCGTCTGCAACTTGGGTTGCCTTTAAAAATTTACAAAAATAGGAATCGTGTAAACCTTAATGTGTCGTGAAAATAGAATTTGATTACAAAATGTGGAAACTCTCTACAATTACCTTAAATCTAAATGACTATTGCAACTTTATAAAGTGTTTAAATGAAATATAAAGAAAAGAAAACTGAACACTTTATGCCGCTGACTTATAACTAGCATTAAAATATAATCAAAATTTCAAATGATCCCCAAAATTATTATCCAAACTCACTTTCAAACAGTTCTGATTTTTTTTTTTTAAAGAAAACTAACTACTCGCAAAATAATCGGTGATACTGGAATATCTATCCTCTCTTCGGAAGTTAAAGGTACGTACTATTATATTTTTATTTTAATGATCATTAATATTTCAATTTTTAAGGCCTATCGCAATTAGTTAATTCATGAATTTTTACTTTTTCAATCTAAATGACATTTCTGCACTCCAATTATAATTTATAAGTCAAAATTTCTCTTACTCTCTGGAACAAATTCTGGATATCTCTATTTGAAAATGTGGAAAAACTAAATTATAATTAAACGATTTTAAAGCACTCCCGGACTATTCCACCTTTTTAGGGCTCTTCCTCCAAAATTTTCGTCGCCTCCAACAACCTATTCTTCCTTGTTAACCGCCATAGCTAGCACCAACCACAATTATTCGTTGCTAACAGCAACCCACTTTCTTTTTTCATTCCGTCTTCTATTTTATTCAACCATAAAACTGTCCTGTTTTGACATATTTGTCAAACCACATTAATTTCTCATAAGCACTTTAATCACATCTAATTTGGGAATTTAAAAAAAAAATTCAGATATAAAACTTAACAATACTAATATAATTTATTCTTTTCATCTCCACATCATTGTAATTTATTTAACAAAACCCCTATTAATTTAGTTCCCACAGACTTTTGACAGTTTATTTTTCTGACGTTTATTTTTAAAATTTCTATGTTTAAATAATTTTTTAAGAATTCTTCTTTTTTTATTCCTTTTAAGGTTTAGACGATTCACCTATACACTAGGCAACTATACTATTCAGAAATTATTAACACTATACCAGGTAAGTCAAAATTAATTTATTTAGCAATTTACTAATCTTTTCTCCCTTTTATTTCAGAGTCGACCCCACATTGTGATGGCTTCATGAAATTCATGAACAACAAACTCATATAAAAATCCCTTTAAGTTATATCCTCTTTGACCTATTGAAATCATTTCAATATATATATATGTCTATATACATATCAAAATCACTAGGTTCTCGGGAAGAACCGCGTTGAGAATTTAATACTCGACGTTTCGGCTCCTATTTTGGAGCCATTATCAAGAGTGTTACGGTTCGGTTCGAGTTCGGGGTCTCAATCTACCTACTTCCCCCACTCGAGACGTACCAGTATCGTGTATTATAAATATTACACTGTATTATAAATACAAGAACTGTCTCTCGGCACTGAGATCTCAATCTGCCTACTCCCCAGTGTCGAGTGACACTGAGAAGTGACATTTTTTTAAGAAGCATCTTTTAATGTTCTTTAAGTGCATAAATTTTGAAATTGATATGTTTAAAGCTCGTAAAGTTATTTAATTTGTTTATTAATGTTTAAAACTTTAAAAAAAATTTCTAGGCTCTCCTAGTGAACCGATTTGAATTTTACAAAAAGCGTTTGAAAGCTTGAGCCTTCCTTTATATGTAAAAAAATTTGCAACCATCTGAGGGCCTTATTTAGGGCCTACTATAAATTTGAAAATTTGCGATCCATTAGGCTGGATCTCAAAATTATTATGCAAAACTTATCCGACCGATCTTAACAAAATTTAGCTCTTTATTTTAATTTAGCGTTTTAAACATATTAAAAAAGTTTTCTAGGCGGAATATGGAGCTTGTAAGTCAAGTTTAGAAAGTCGAAAACATTTAAAGGATTAACTTAATTTTTTTGTACCTTTTTTTCCAATTATTGCTATTTTTTCCACAATAAACATTAAATTTTCAATCTCTAACTAACGAAATATTATGTAAAATTGAATAACGAAACTTTTTACTTTTATAATCTTTTCTCTAGGATCAATATTTTCCGAATTCTAAACGAAAATAGGAGCAATAAAAATGAGAAATTTTCAATTGATTTTAGATTTTGTGAAATAAAAAATTTAGCACAGGGTTTGCGACTGGCGCATATCGTGATTATCGATATTGGACACATCCTAAAGGGATGTCCATTATGGTCTGAATTTCTACAGATCCCGCCTAGTCTATTATTGTAAATACTTAATAGTATAAATTCTTACGTGAGCAATAAAGACAGCTAGCGTGATTAAATATCCCCATCCTCCCTCTGGAGGTACTTTTTCACAATTCTTTTCCATTATTTTCCAATTAAAAATATTTAGTCACAGCACTATTCTCGATTCTTGTTATATGACTAGTAAACAGACTGCTCTATTACTTCTCTTTTTCACTTTTGTATTATCGTCATGACGGTATTATACATGTACAAAAGTACATATTGACACAAGCAAATACTTTAAATGTTTAATTCAATATTATAACTATATTAAGACTTCATCAAACGAGAGTCATTATTTTGGTGACACCACTTAATATTTTTATTAGATAGTTGTTATCTACCGTTTTTATTTTTATCAGAAAAGAGGTTTTTTCTATTGTTTATTTATTGTAATGGTGATACTTTGGCCGGCATACTATAAAATTCTTTGGCAATAACTATTCTATTTTAGACATTTATTTTGCACAACTTTTATAGGAAGGTAGAGAACTGTAATGAAAAAAATCTACACATTATTGTATTATTATTATCATTATCCAGATTTAGCCATACGGTTCATACTTCCTCTAAGAGGAAAATTCACTCATCCCATTTACCTACGGTATTAGAAGGATTCAGCTCTGGTGGGACTCTTTAGATGATATCGAGTCCTAGGTAACTTGGTACGCTGGAGTACCTCCCAAAAAATTTCGTACACATCTGGACGTTGAGAGTCGTATAGCTTTCTACATGGTCTTGTAGAGATGTTCATTCAGACCTAGCTTTTTATATTTTCTAAGAGGTTCTTCGTCATGACTCCAGTAGTAGAGAGAATAATAGGTATTATCTGGGTACTTTCCATTCTCCACTGTCTTCATATTTGAATTTCCAGATCCCTGTACTTGGCGATCTTTTCGTTCTCTTTAACATTATTTTTGTTGGGTATCGCCACATCAATTAGTGTTGTTTTTCTATTTAGTTTATTAACTAGTATGAGATCTGGTCTATTATGTGCCACTGTTTGGTCTGTGAGCACAAGTCAGTCCAGTATAGCTTATAGTTGTCATTCTCAAGTATACTTTCAGGAACGTATTGATAATATAGGAGATGGTTTGTTTGGAGAAGTCCCAGTTTGATGGCTATATCTTGATGAAGGGTCTTTCTTACTGAGTCGTGCCATTCCATATATTGAGTTAAGCAAATGCCTGGCAGCCTGACAAGGTCTTTAACGATATATTTCAGGTAATTTTTGGTTGGTATAGCCTGATCCTGAATGGCGAGTAATGAACCTTCTGCTTCAGAAAACAGCCTGGCAAGGTCTTTAACGATATATTTCAGGTAATTTTTGGTTGGTATAGCCTGATCCTAAATAGTGAGTAATGAACCTTCTGCTTCAGAAAACATCTTTCCTGATATCAGCCAATAGTTCGACGCTATTATTGACATGGTTTTGACTGACCTCATTGGGATGTCGCCCCTACAGAGGTTTACCCATCTAGGTGCGCAATTTTTTTGTCCTTAGTAAGATAGTTTATGCGCATTTCTGGTTCTCTTAATTTGATCGGTGTTGTATCATCTACACAAGGATCTAGGGATTCCACCGTAAATATTTACCTTTACCATGCGAGATGCGCTATGCACCATTACGCAGATGATTTTAAGATTTTGACATTTTTGTTTCTCCTAACCTAACCTGTATCTTTCACCGATTAAAAAGATTAATGCTCATCATATTATAACCAAGAAAAATAACCTTGGTTCATCCTCAGTCGTTTTCTTAGGTTGTTCAAAATTTCTATAAATATTTTGAGAACGATTTCAAAACGTCAAACTTTGGCTAAAATGTGATTTTTATTACAACCAATAAATTGTGGCTTAATCCCATATAAACATAATATTTAAAAAAGAAGTTCAATAAAGTTTCATTGTAAAAGATTTTGCTGTTTAGTAGTGGGAATAAAATGTAAAGAACACACACAAAAAAGACGAGTAGAAGTACTCAATGTTTGTCAAAGAAAACAAGAAATAGACTTTTTGCCAGAGGAAAGAAAGAATTTTGGAAATTAAGATAATATATTATGAATGATATGAAGGATACAATTTTCTTTTAAATTAAGAATTAGTTGTTTAATAAGTGTTTGAATAAGTTTTTTATTAATGAGATTTGTTAGTCACCATTTTAATCATAATTTCGATAAGACTACATAAATGAAAGATTATAATTGGTTAATTAAATATCTAGCTTAAATCTAGTAGTTGTCAAATAAATTGTCAAGTTATTATTTCTTGTCTTATCTTCTATCTTATCTTCTTAAATCACGAAACAATTATTCATTTAATTTAATAATTTTAATATATTTGTTTGATACAATTTATGATTGAGAAATTGTAATTTATATTTACCTAAATTAGGAGGGTACATGACTTCCAACCAAGCCTTATAATAAGTTTCAGCCATATCTGACATTAAACACTTTTGCTAGGATATTATATCCTATTTTTTCTTTGATACATTAAAAAAATTGATTCTCGGTATTCTCGGTCTTTCTTTATGGTGGTCTTGGACTGTGAATAAAATCGATCTAAATCATCTTGAGGCTTTCAAAATGTGGTGCTATAGAAGAATTTTAAAAGTTTCCTGGGTGGAGAAGATTCGAAACTCCACAATACCAGAACGTCTCAGCAAGACTACTGAGATCACAAAAGTATCAAGCAGAGAAAGCTGGAATATTTCGGACATGTAATGAGAGGTCCCAAATAGATGTTCCTACAAAATATCATGCAAAGAAAAATAGCAGGCAAACTCAGTCCAGGACGAAGAAGAACCTCATGCTTAAAGAACTTGCGAGATTGGTATGGTATTAATACAAGCATGCTATTTAGGGTGGCAGTGAATAAAATTAAGATAGCTATAATGGTAACCAACGTTCTGAAAGGACATTGTATATGAAGAAGAAGACTTGAATCCGTAATTCCTCGTCCTTCTAAATACCGCGATAATGTCGTTCTTTCTTTCTTTCTTTCTTTCTTTCTACTGCACTTGCACTAGCATGGTGTTTTTGTGCCTTTCTGAGGTGTGTTCATACTTTTCGCTGAAGATTTTCTATATAATGTTTTTGTCCACTTAACAATACCAAATGAGGAGCTAAGCGCGGAACATGCGTAGGTGTTTAGTGCCTTAAACAAATTTTTACTATTAAGGTGTCAACGAAGCAGCTGTTTCTCTTTGTATAAACTCAGTAATTATCTCAATTTTTATTTGCTTATGGTCATTCTTCCGCGCTTGCTTTATTCCGAGGTATTTATAAATATCATGGCCTCGATGTTCCCGTTTTGCATATTGAATCTGTCGGGCCGAACTTTTCCTTTAATTATATTTAAGACATGGCACTTGTCAAAACCAAAGTTCTTAATATTATTATTAGAGAAATTTTCTACTGTTTTTATCATCTGATCCAGACGGCTTTGAGTGGAAGCCAATAGTTTTTAATCATCCATATACAATAGGTGATTAAGCTTTGTCACAACAGTAGTGTTATTTTTTATGCTAAAACCTGTGTTAGTTGAGTTCAGTAGCTGGGATAGGGGGTTCATCGCTAGATTATTATCATTATCCAGATTTAGACATACAGCTCACACTCCCTCTAAGGGAAAAATTCACTCAACCCAGATACCTACGGTATTAAAAGGATTGAGCTCTGGTAGGACTCTTTCAATGTTATCGAGTCCTAGGTGACTTGGTACTTCAGTGTATCTCCCAAAAATTTTCGCACGCATCTAGACGTCGAAAGTAGCACAGCTTTCTGCATGATCTTATATAGATGTTCATTTAGACCCAGTCTTTTTATGTTTTCTAGTAGGTTCTTCAGAATAACTCCAGTAGTAGAAAGAATAATAGGTATCGTCTAGGTACTTTCCATTCTCTAATGTCTCCTTATTTGTATTTCCAGATCTCTGTACTTGGCAATCTTTTCGTTGTACTTAACACGCAGATTATTGTTGTTAGGTATCGCCACATCGATTAGAATTGTTTGTCTTGTTAGTTTATTAACTAGCACGAGATCTGGACTATCATGTGCTACAGTTTTTTCTGTAAGCACATTGGAACCCCAATCAGGAATTACGTGTTCCAATTTCAAAAGGTCAGATACTGATAATAGTGAATTCAGGTGGAGAAACGATTTTGTAAAAATGCGTGTTTGAAATTCAAATCAACGGTACTGTCACAGTGAAATTAATTATAAAAAAATCATTCAGAAAATGATCATTCCCAATCATCCTTCAGATAGTGTACTAGTTGTTGACAACGCTTCTTATTAAAACTTGCAAGTCAAAAATGTCCTAATATGAGTTCAGCGAAAAATGTAATGAAAGACTGGTTAAGACAACGTATTCTGCATTTTTCTTCAAAATATATGTTAAAAGTCATCGAAGTGATCATTCGATGTTAAGGCTGCCTCCTTATTATCCAGATCTCATTTCCATAAAATTAACGAGTGCATCTTTTAAGAAATACGTAGCCGAGAAGATCTTTAATTTTATGAGTGGAAAAACGATGTGAATACGCCAAACGTTTTGACCAGTTTTTTATGAAAAATTAACCTGTTTTAGATTTAGTTTTTGATTAAATAATAATAAATCTTCAGAGAAGATAGTAGTAGTCATTTCAGTGATGATAATTTCGAGTCTGATACTGTTTTTCAGGAGTTAAACATTTTACTCTTCTTGATTAGTATTTCTTATTGTTACATATTTCAGTTTTATTTTTTTCTTTATAGTTTTGTATGTATGTTACATGTTACATGTTGTATGTTACATATTTCTTTCAGTTTTTAAAAAAGGACAAAAAACCTGCCCACAAAACTATAGAGGAATAACCCTCTTAAATACAACAATGACACTTTTCACAGGTATTCTCAAGGACAAATTGGAAAAGCAAATCACTAATGCTGAAGAACAACAAGGTTTTACAAAAAGGCGGTCAATAACAGACGCAGTATTTATAATAAAACAAATAAAAGAAAAAGCTATAGAGTTCGGCAAGACAGCGTATATTTGCTTCTTTGATTTGACGAAGGCATTTGACAGAGTTCGCCTGGGAGACATTCTAAATATATTAATAGAAAATGAAACACCGACCAGTATAACAAAGATACTCCATAAACTAAATAACAACAACGTAACCAAAAGT